CACACACACACACACACACACACACACACACACACACACTCGATAGAGACGCAATCGATCCCCGTTTCGCGATACTCGTCGTCTCGAGAACCCGCCGTGGAACTACAGATAATAACGCGACTGTTATGTCGAGAGTTTAATTCACCGTGAAGGCGGTTCTCCGTCCGTCTGTCTTGCCCGTTCGAAGTAACACATAAAAGAAGTTCCGGATGCAAAGGAAATAGTCGCGTGCGACGCGAACTGGAGAGGTCGTACTCATGCACTGGGAAAGAGATCTCAAAGATATAAAACAAACATTTATTCGTCGAGCACTAATTGACATATTGACTCGAAATTCTCTTGTTCAGATAGAACAGACAGTCGCGTGAAAAGCGAACGATTTTAAGAAAATGCGCGTATTTTTCATTTGAAAACAATGGCTGTGCGCTCAGCAGAGGAAGCTGCTACACAACTGTTGTAAAATTTGTGAGTCTGATTGGCATCAGACTCCTACATTCAGCCGGGATCGGCAACACGCGACGATCGGATTTACGAATTTTTGCAACAGTTGCTAAGCAGCTTTCTCTGCTGGAACGCGGCCGATGTTTTCTCAATGTAAAAATAACACAAGTGCGTACTGTTTTTATTTATTATGCTATTTTTACGCGAGCAGTACAAGTGAATACGTCGTTGGCACTCGCCGAATGAATGTCTCTTACTTTTCAGACACTTCCTTTCTAACACAGCGTGAGAGAATCGTTCTTCCTCGCGAAAACGACGGGCGGTTCTGCCCTTTCGCTCGCGTCAATCTCTCGCGACAGACGAGAGCTCCTCGTGTCCCTTCTGACATCTTTACACACATGTGGTACATATCATACGACGCGATAGAATCGACAAGAACGCGCTCTCTCGGTTCTGACGACGCGAACTGGACGAACGAAAATCGCCGTGGACGCGCGACGCGAGGAACGTCGCGCCGCCCTACGGCGTCTCCCTCTCGGAACATACATCGCCCCTTCTCCCGCTCCCCTCCCCATAATTGACCCTTTATATATAGAATGTACATAAACATTTATATGTATACATATTTATATATTGTATTACGTAGAAATGCGCGTTTATATTTATTAATTATGCTCTCGAAATGTCGGCCCAGCCAGTCGGCTTTTTGCGGAGCGCTGGCAGTCTGTAAATTGAGTTTAATGCATGTTGTTTTTGTCTGTCCTTTGCATGCAGGGATTCGGTTTTGTAACATTCGCAAATAGTGCTGATGCGGACCGGGCACGTGAGCGGCTACACGGCACCGTGGTTGAGGGACGGAAAATTGAGGTGTGCATGAATTTTCTTATACTTATATACTTATACATACATACATATATATATATGTATGTATATACAATGTGTGTATATACAAATATATATATACATATATATATATATATATATATATATATATACATACATACATATATACATATATATACATACATCTCGTCTCATTATAATTAATTCATTTCGGATATAAACATGTGTTTACTTTCTAGGAGAGCCGCGCGGTGCAGCGAGAGAGCGCACGTACACACACACTTTCTCTCTCACTCGCTTGCTGCACCGCGCGAAGCGACCGCCGCGATCCGCGGGACTCATCCGATCACGGATGGGTCCGTCTCTGGCAGATTGAGCGGATCGCGGCTGGCGATAGTTGTGTAAGTCGGGTCGAGACGCGTGTGTCCGGCGCGTCCATCGGTACCGTTGAAAAATGAAGATATCGCGATGAACGATACGCTCGCGGGCAGCCGGCGCCGTTGTTAGCCGGGGATAATTAATGATGTGTTTCACGCGCGGTTATTAATTACTGCGGATGTATCGTCCGTGCTTTTTCACCGGTAGCCGACGTCGCGGCGGAGATGGACGCGCAGGACGCCGCGCAGGCCGTAGATCTAAGAGACTAGACTTAATTGCGATCGGATCGTCGGATCGACTGGCGATGAATCGCGATTCGAGCTGTCGACAGCGCGACTCGACGGAGCTGTTTACCTGCGCGCGAGAGAGAAGCGATGATGAGAGACGACTCGACGGTGTCGCGGTAATTAACGAAATGCGCGGGACAATTCCGCGAGCTCGAGATCGAATGAGTAGAGAAAGAGAGGGAGGGGGGAAGAGAGAACAGGCGACGGGGAAAAGGGGCGGGAGAGGGCCTCAGGGACTCGAGAGAACGAGATTTCTCTCGTGGCCTGGATCAATCTGACTGATGGCCACTCGTGGATCCACGAGTGCCGCGAGCCGATTGACGAGTCTCGATTCGCTCGAGGGCCTCAAGTGATCCACAAATTCCGCTTCCTGATTGGCCGGCCATTTCGCGCCGGTGAAAATCAGTGCGGCGGCGTTGTAAACGGAAAGATGGGAAGAGATCGAGAAAGAGTGAGTGTAAGAGAGAGAGAGAGAGAAAGAGAGAAGAAGAGAAAGTCGCCCGTGTCTCGATTAACGAGCGATCCGCGAGTCACTTTGCTCACGCACGCACTCGTTGCTTTTCTTTCCTTTTTTTTTTCCTGTCTGTCTATCTGAATTTGCTTTTTCGCATATCTCTCTGTCTCTCCCCATCTCTTTCTCTCACGGTACGACCTTAATCCGCTAGTCGAGTGCGTGTTCTCGTGTAGGGGAGACGATAGTAATAGGAATTAAGTTCACTTGATGAACGTAATCTCGAGCTCTCGGCTGTTATCTTGCGCGTCGTCGTCATCGTTATCATCGTCGTCGTCATTGTCGTCGTCAATAAGTAACTGTGTCTCGGTCGACATTTGCACACGAGGTTGACGAGCTCCGTCGAATCGATCGAGGATAAACGAGGCAATTGAACATGGCAACCGTAGTGTCCGAGTGTCCGAGTATATTCGCGCAATTGCTTATTCGTCCGATCGTTGGCGGGAAAATCCCTCCGGCAAGAACGCGAATAAAAATTACGTGGAATTACGTCGTATAGGACGGAGAACCGCAAGAAGTGCTCCGTAATTTTGCGCCGTGATTAATTTTCCACGATTAATATTCGCGCGATGTGCAGACAGCCATTCATTCGCATTTCCTCACCCAAAAAAAATACAATCTCATTCGAAATACTCTTATGTTACGAATCTCCTCTTCAGAGGAGATTCTTTTAAAACTAAAAGAAAAATACTCTAACATTCGAGAGAAGAACTCTAGTTCCAAGGTGCTACTTCTTAAAATAGTAAACTATTAATCGGAAATCTGCTAGATATTATCCTAACTTTCTTCTTTTGAATCAAGAGAAATGTTTACTCGAAGCACAATGCCCCCTTATTTTTAAAGGAATTTTTATCAAGGAACTAGACTGTAGAGAAAAGACGAAATTCCCCTGACTTTAAGAATATTGTGCTCAGAATATTTTTCTTAGAAGAATTTTTTTGAGACCATGTAAAACTGAAATATATTGAAAAACAAAGCCTTGCATTGTCGTCGTCAATAACTAACTGTGTCTCGGTCGACATTTGCACATAATTAAGTGCATTTGATTGAGTGTTTCAGTGCAGTATTTGGTAATTAATATTGAATATGGTAACGCTTACCGACCAATCATTACTCTGGTATTAATTGCAAGATAATAAAACATACTCTTCATTTAGTTAAAATAACTGAACGATTTGGTAAATGGTACCAGATAATTTATCAGTAATCGCTAAACGGTTCGTCTATTTCCAAAGTATTTGGTCACACATTTCTGATATTAATCATATTATGTATAACGTGGTAAATACCACTGAACGGTTTATTTAACAAACTGCTGAATGATACATGGGTCGGTAATGATTACCAAGCCTTGGAACAGATACCAAGTCTTGATAAGTTGCTTACTTATTAATACTCGCCAATTTCTTTGATTGCATTCACACGCGTTCGCACAAACCATTTCACCGAAGCAACTATTCAGCCACGATTGATCATCACAAAACCTCTCCTCAATGAGAGGGTTTCGCGCAGAATGAGATTGTATTTGCCTGGGTGTACGCGCGAATACTCGTTAGCGCAAGACCCGCGACTGACAGTCAGTTATAGATGTCCGTTCGCCGTTGCATCGCGATGTAATTTCGCGACGCGGAACCGTCGCGAATCTCGACGGTCTTGTCGCGATGCAGCGGCCCGCTCTGTCGGCTTTGATCATCGTGTTTCCGCAGCTTCCCACGGCTGACCGCGCGACGACCGCAGCATCTGCTGCGTCGACGCTGATACGCCGAACAACAACGGTTTAGCCTAATTGAACAACTCGATTAGTTATCTTCTCACGGTGGGCTGGAGCTGCCGGGTCGATCCCTCGAAATCCCCGTCGCGTGGGTCCGACGTTAACGAGACTCGAAAATCGCCTCGCATCCCGCGTACTCGCAATTACGATGATTGCAGTCGGACGACGTCTCGCGGATTTTTGGCGTAGCGTCCGCGCGACGAGCAGAGGAAAAGAGAGAAAAAGAGAGGTCGTTTTTCCGCGCGAGGACGACGACGGCGAAAGAGATTGCTTCCGAGGGTAGATATAGCATCTTCTTCCGTCGTCATTATATCGCTCTTCGGCCGTAATAGGATTATATTCTTGAATCACGGCCAGTGATTACTCCTTCGGATTTTTTCCGGTTCGATAATGACCGCCGTTTGATCGGGCGGGCCTTCTTCACTGCGACTTTAATGGCTCAATTAAAGCCTGAAAGCCCAGTCGGCTTTTTATTTCGACTCGTCGATTAACCGCGTCACACTCAAAAGTTCTACGGCTCGCGCGAGGAAAGTCGCGAACGCTCGGACGAATTTGCCTTTTAATCACGGCTGGACCAATGTCGCGGAGCGATGAAACGTCGCGAAGGTTCGTTGCCGATCCTTCTTGCCTCGAGTATCCTCACGGTATAGCTTAACGCGCGAAAATAGAGAGACAAGGAGGAAAAGACATGCGCATCGGTGTCGGTCGCCAACGCGGACTTGCCAAAACATCACGTCGCGAACACGCGCGGGTATATATTAACGTCTGACCTCGAGACCTCTGAGGTCGAACCAAGCGCAACCGGCAGGTGACTGGCGTTGGCGATGGCTCCGGATGCGAAGCGTGCGCGCGAAGTTGAAGGGGTGGACGCGTTCGAAAGCAACAATCGTCGAACGTCGACGGGCACACGAGATGCAGGAGTCCGCCAGGCCGGACGAGATCCTCGTCCATCGCTGGCCGGGCTGTGGGGCAGCCGAGTGACCGAAACGAAAGCAAAAGCCCCAGACGAAACAATCGCGGTCGTATCTCACGCAGATGTCCTCTTGTCCCCATTATAGAGAGCCTCTGCGCGTGAGAGAGGAAAAGAGCATAAAGCGATAGAGAAAGAGAGACTAGTAGAGGGGAGGAAAGGCTGAGAGAGCGAGCGAGAGACTCGTTGCGGAGAGAAAATGGTTGATCGCAAAGTCTGAGAGAGCGAGCGAGCGAAAGAGATAAGATCGACCGGTCGGTCGGTCGATCGGGGAAAAGAGCGAGAGAGAGTAACGGGCGAACGCTGACGGACGTGGGGGAGGACACTGAGGAGGCCACTGAATAATAAGGACCTCGCGAAGTGTCCGGAAAGGTAAGGCAACAACCACCACTGCAAGCCGCCATTGTCGCTATCGTGGCGGAAATCCGTCGCACGCGGCGACGATGCGAGACACCCGGGGTGTGCCTCTCGTGTGCACATCACGAGAAATCGCTAAACTCGCACACCACTGCCCGCTCTCTCACGCGACGCCGACATGAGAACCGTGCCATGATCGATCTTCCACCGGCAGATCAGCTTTCCTTCGTCCTGATACTTCTTTTTTATTTTTCTTTTTATATACATACGTATATAAGTTGTCTGATGACAAGTGAGAAAACGTGTTCACATGTAGATTAGGTCAAACTGAACATAAAATCCTACGTCTACGATATTGCAAATAATCATGTAGAATCTTAAGTTATTAATTAGAGGGATCGGTGCAGTGCAATTATATATAATGATTTCCGTTGTGCGCATTAAATCAAGCTTATCAATTTTCACTTATCGTCGCAGACAACCTATATGTATTTTCCCCCTTTTTTTTTCTTCTCTCCCTATTTCTGTTTTCATTTTATAAGCCGTTCCATACTCCTTCGCACTCGTGAAAAGACACCTTTCGTTCTTCGAACGGCGGAGAAGTCGCGAAAGTGCGGCCGCGAATTGCTCGCTTCAAGAGAGAAATATTTCGCGAGACGCGTTAACTTTCCTCTCTCCTTTCGAGCAAGTTACGTCGCATGAAAATTTCTTGACGAATGATTTTTCTAACTTAAACAGGAAGTTTGTACG